TCCTGCTGTCACCTCTCTTCATCCTTCATTCCCTTCTCTGTCCCTAGACAACCTTTTGGTCCTCACGGTGGCCACAAAGGAGACTGAGGGGTTCCGACGCTTCAAGCGCTCAGCCCAGTTCTTCAACTACAAGATCCAGGTAAGGGGCTCCCCAGGTGGGGCAGAGATAACTGAGGGGTGGTGGGAGAGTCCAGGAGCTGGATGTCTGCCTTTCCCAAACTGACTTGGGCCCAAAGGGAAATCTTCTGGAAAAGTAAGATGGGAAGAACATAAGCAAAGTCTAGGAGGTGCTGGAGATAGAGGGTGTGTGGAAGGTGAGACTCGAGACGTATGTGGGTGTACTCATGTTAGTGCATAAGACTCACCTGGGGACCTGTGGCTAGTTTAGAGGGTAGGGCCTGGGGATCAGCATTTCCACAAGGTCTCCCAGGTGATTTGGGGATGCCCTTGTCTGGATATCTTACCCGTATAAACACTGCTGTAAAGAAACACAAGCTAACGCCATGTCCCTCGGTGGCATGGATTTCATATCCTGTGCGTGCAGTCTGTGGGGCTGAGCCCTGCAGGGAGAGATTCCTCCATTTCACTGAGTGTGCTGAGTGCTTCCTTGTGTCAGGTGCCATGATTGGCACTGGGGACAGAATGTTGGACGAGACAGACCAGGGCACTGCCTACACAGCTTGCAGTCTAGTGGCTTTAAGCCAGAAAGAAAGTATATTAGTTTGTGGCTTCCCTGGTGGCGCAGTGGTTAAGAATTCGCCTGCCAATGGAGGGGACAGGGGTTCGAGCCCTAGTCCAGGAAGATCCCACATACTGAGGAGCAACTAAGCCCGTGCACCACAACTACTGGAGCCTGCGCACCTAGAGCCCATGCTTCGCAACAAGAGAAGCCACTGCAGTGAGAAGCCCACATACCACAATGAAGAGTAGCCCCCGCTTGCCACAACTAGAGAAAGTCCGTTTGCGGGAACAAAGACCCAATGCAGCAAAAAATAAATAAATAAAGTAAATAAATTTTAAAAAATTCATTATAAGAAAGTGTATTAGTTTACATAAATGGGGCTTGAGGCAGCGGGTTGCTTCAGGCATAGCTGGATCTAGGAGTTCAAGCAGCATGGTAAGGGCCTTGTCTTTCCATCTCTAGGCCCTGTTTGTTTTCATTTGCAGACATGCTCTCTCTACATGGTGGCAGGATGACCACCAGCCATAGACCCACATGCCCCAGCTTCACAACCTCAGCAGAACAAGACAACCTTTCCTTACTTTTAACAGAACAGTCCCAGGGAAGACTCTGATAGGCCCTACTTGAGTTACATGCTCAAACTCATGGCTCTGGGAGAGATGGGAGACTCTGATTGGCCAGCCATGGTCACATGACCACACCAGGAGCCTGCTCAGCCACACATATGTCTTAGAATGGTTTCCCACGGGGAGGGGAGGAGGTGCTGGACACAGACAGAAGCAAAGATGTGCACTGCCCAGGTGGGGTTGGAAATTGAGCTGGCCAGATTTTTCTTTACCAAAAGCTCATGTTAAGGGGCCTTTCTCTGCAGGCGCTGGGGCTGGGGGAGGACTGGCATGGGGAGCAGGAGATGTCGGCAGGTGGAGGGCTGAAGGTTCGACTACTGAAGAAAGCCCTGGAGAAGCACGCAGACAAGGAGAACCTGGTCATTCTCTTCACAGACAGGTAGGCAGCTGAGAGGTAGCGGAATATTCTAGAATGAGGTCCTGCCAGGACATCAGGGATGAGGGGGGTTACTCTAGCTAAGGTTGCCTGCAGTTTTAAGGGGTCTGTGAACCCCAGAAAAGACCCATGTCCACTCTTGGTGAAAAGATGGGTGGGGGGACCTGCCCAGGTATGGTGAGCTATGCTTTGAGTGTGAGATGGGGACCACGTCTCTGCCGAGGAAGGGGGTGGAAACGTGGTGGGCAGGGGCAAAGGCAACAGGGCAGATCCATTTCCCAGATGTGGCCTGGGGCTGGCGTGGGAGGAGGGGGGGAGCCTTGACCCCTGGTCTCCTGCCTGTACCCTCCTGAGCCCCTGCCTCCCTCTGCCCCGCCCCTTCTCCTCCCTGTTCACCGCTGCCCTGCCTTCTCCCGCCTCTGGCCACAGCTACGACGTGGTGTTTGCCTCGGGGCCCCGAGAGCTCCTGAAGAAGCTCCGGCAGGCCCGGAGCCAGGTGGTCTTCTCTGCCGAAGAGCTCATCTACCCGGACCGCAGGCTGGAGGCCGAGTACCCGGTGGTATCTGACGGCAAGAGGTTCCTGGGCTCTGGAGGTGAGGGGCCCGGGTACGGAGTGTGTGGCAGGCTGGGCAGGCTCCAGAGGGGTCCATCTGCTGCCTGGGTGCGGATCCCCCCTGGCTTGACATCCCATGCGGATGGCTTACGGGTCCTGAATGCAGAATGTCCTCAGCAGACCTCCTGATCTTTTAACCCTGAAATCAGCTTCTCTGCAATCTTCCTTGTCTCATTCAGTAGCCCCCCATCTGCACAGGGCAAAACAGGGAGTCACCCCTGATTCCTCCCTTGCATTCCCGCACCTTAGTCCATCAGCAGGTCACACCACTTCCAGTTCAAAAGATCTCTGCCCTCTCATGTCCACGCCCCTTGCCGCTGCCTCATGGGGCCCCTGGCATAGGCAGTAGTCTCCTAACTGCTCTGCTAGCCTCCACCCTCGCCCCTTCCAGTCCATTCTCCACCCAGCAGCCAGATGCGAGTCTGCACACATCACTCAGTGACTTCCTACTGCACAGAGAATAAAATCCATATTTTATTCTGGATTCCTCTGTCCCGCCACGGAAGGGGGATCCGCCCCCAGGGACCACGTTTCCCCATTGGCCAAGAGAGTTAGCACAGTCCAGATGGCCTGGCCCTGGCCCAGGGGTAGAGGTGTCCCCTAGGGCAGGGCCCTCCCTGGCTGCCCACCTTCTCCTTTTTCTCTTCCCTTTTCACCAGTCTGCACCGTAGCCTGGGGGCTGTGTGGGCCTTACCCTCTAAGCCCTCCTGTACTGTGTGACCTTGGCTCAGCCTCTGCCCTTCTCTGGGTCAAGTTTCTCAGATAACTGTAGAAAAGGGGCTCCAAGCCTATGCCCCACCAGCCCTGCTCTCCTGGGCTTCTGGTCTAATTCATTTATTCACCACCTGTGTGGTGCTCAGGACCTGAGCTGGTGCAGCTTAATGGACAGCACTGATTTTTCTCTCTGGGCTCAGTGGGAACTTGTCACCAAGTGGCATTAACTGGCAGGCTGTTTCCAACCTGTAGACATCACCTCTTCTCAATCCAGGAGGGCTTCTGAGAGGAGGCAGGGCTTATGGGTAAGGAAGTGGGAGGTGGATGAGAGGGGAGGCTGGGAAGAGGCCCCTGGCTTAGAGGCCGGAAGCTAAGTGTCTGTCTCTGTGTGTCCCCCACCCCCCAGGCTTCATCGGTTATGCCCCCAACCTCAGCAAACTGGTGGCCGAGTGGGAGGGTCAGGACAGTGACAGTGACCAGCTCTTTTACACCAAGATCTTCTTGGACCCGGAGAAGAGGGTAAGAGGCAGTGGGTGGGACTGTGGGATCTTGACACTGGATTCCCCCAGACCAGGCGGCACTGGGAGCAGCCCCTGCCCCCCCAGGCCTGACCCCCTGGTTTGGGCATTGACACCCCATTTATCTATCCTTCGATTCACTCATTTATTCAGCAGGTATTTATTGCATGTCTGTGGTGTGTGAGACACTGTCAGGTGTAGGGCAGGGATATGGCAATGAACAAGACAGTTGGGGTCTCTGCCCTCGTGGACCTTCAAGCTGGGGACACAAGGAATATACAGCCTCATGTTAGGTGGTGAGGATGGTCATGAAAGGAACGGACAGGCTGAGCTGCCCCTGCCCAACCCTACCTGGAGGGTTTCTAGGGGGCTGATGTGATCTTGGCTGGACCTGGGCCCCAGAAACTAGGCCTCTCAGCCTGTCTCAAGGCAGGGATCATTGGGCAATTCCCTGGTGGTCCAGTGGTTAGGACTCTGCGCTTTCATTGCCGAGGGTGCGGGTTCAATCCCTGGTTGGGGAACTAAGATCCCTCAAGCCACGTGGCAAGGCCAAAAAAGGAAAAGCAGAGATCACTGAGGGGAATGGACTGGGCCAGTGTAGCCCCAAAGCCAGCCAGTGTCCTCTGGGCAGGCAGGAAATTTAGGGAGCCCTTGAGGGGGGTGAGTATTCCTGGATTCTTCCCTGCTTACCACCCCAACCTCTGTTTATTCTGTGCTGCGTGACGTAGGGTAACTCACTTTCCCTCTCTGGGCCTCGATTTTTGTTATCCATGAAATGATGAAATGAAGCAATTGGACTTGTGCAGTGGAAACTAGGAGCTTGATCTTTAGTTAGCTCAGTCCTTCCTCCTCCTTCCCCTTTGCCTCCAGTGACACTGCTAGCAGAAGCCCATGGTCTAAAACAAAACAGTGGAGCTGTTCTCTGTGGGATGAAGGCTGAGCCTAGAGTGTCACTTGGCCTGGCCTAGGGCTCCATGAGACACAGTCAGATCTCGAAGAGGCAGCATTATGCAGTGAACATGGACCTCAGGGCCAGGCTGCCAGGCTCAGATGCCAGCTTAGTCAATTACTAAGTGTGTGACCTTGAGCAAGTTATCCAACAACTGTGTGCCTTGTTTGTTTGTTTGTTTTTTAATTTTTATTTATTTATTTACTTATTTGGCTGCGTTGGGTCTTCGCTGCTGCACACGGGCTTTCTTTAGTTGCGGCGAGCGGGGGCTACTCTTCGTTGCGGTGCGCGGGCTTCTCATTGCCGTGGCTTCTCTTATCGTGGAGCACAGGCTCTAGGCACACAGGCTCAGTAGTTGTGGCTCGTGGGCTCTAGAGCGCAGGCTCAGTAGTTGTGGCGCACAGGCTTAGTTGCTCCATGGCATGTGGGATCTTCCTGGAGCAGGGCTCGAACCGGTGTCCCCTGCATTGGCAGGCGGATTCTTAACCACTGCGCCACTAGGGAAGTCCGTGTGCCTTGTTTTTAAATCTATAAGGGTGTTGTTTGGATTAAATTAATGTACATATAATACTTAGGTTGTGATTGGCACATAGTAAAGTGCTAAACAAGCATTTGTTATTACTATGATTGTTGTTGTAGTTGAACTAGCTGTTTCCTTAGATTCCTTCCAGTTCTGAGAGTCCCTGGTTCTCTGTGAATAGAGCCACTAGACTAGTAGATCCCAGGGGCTTGGCCACTGGCTGGCCTTCCCAAGGCTCCCAGCTGCCCTGATGTGACAGGGCAAAGTGGGTGTGGGGAAAGGAAGTGGCAGAAGTGGGAGGACAGATTCCCCACACTGGGTGATGGAGCCTTGTCCTCTGCCAGGGCCTGTCCCTGCTGCAGCCTGGTGCCCTCTTTCCTGCAGGAGGGGATCAATATCACCCTGGACCACCGTTGCCGTATCTTCCAGAATCTGGATGGAGCCTTGGGTGAGCAGCCCCGACAGGGAGGGGGATCCTGAGAGGAGTGGTAAGGAGATGAGGATTCCAGGCAGAGCCTGAGCCGAGGAGGTTCTTCTCGGGTTGTTGTGCTGGGATGTCGCCCACCTCATCCCAAGGTCCCCAGAGACCACCTGGATGTCCTCTGGGGGCAGAGCTGTGTCTCTCTAGGGGTGGAGAAAGGAGGGCTAAGAGGTCATTCCAGAGAGCCTGCTGGACACCAAGGCTCAGCCTGGGAGGAGCTGGGTGATGCACTCAGCGGGTACCTGATCCCTGCCCTGCATAACTGGTCTTTAGAGGTGAGCCTGCTTCACCTCCTTCCCCTGCCCTCCCACCTCCCAGGTGAAGACTTCCTGGGCTGGGGGGAGGGAGTTGATGGATGACTTTGGAAGCAGAGAGGCCACTTGGCCCTTGAAACCACAAATGCTCTTGGCCTGGTCCTGTCGGTGGCTGGTGATGACATTGCTTTGCCACTATCTTGCTGGGTGACCTCAGGCAAGGCACACACACACACACACACACACACACACACACACACACACACACACACACACACACACACACACACGTGACCTCAGGCAAGGCGCGCGCGCACACACACACACACACACACACACACACACACACACACACCTCAGGCCTCAGTTTTCCCATGCTTAGAAAAGAGAATTTAGACCAGATCGTTGATTGGTGATTTAATGGGGTAAATGGACCCCTTTGAGAATCTGAGGAGAGCTTGGCTCCCCTCCCAGGGAGGTGCACTTTGGCCTGTGGGTTCTGACCTAGGTTAAGAAGCTGGGTCCAGACCACCTCTTAGGTGGGTCAGGAGCTTGCACAGAGGGGCTCCCATCACATGATCACCCACCACAAAAGGCCTCCCAGCCCGGCATCTTCTCAGGCCTCTGGGAAAAGGCCCTTTTATAACTGTCAGGCAAGGCAGTGTCCTACCCGCTGTCTTACGTGCAGACTGACCAGGTCAGAGCTTGGGTATTGGGACCCTATTACAGGGGCTTTCTCCACTGGGACAGGATCTGTCCCTGCCCGACCCAGGCCTCCCTGCTGGTTGAACTGCACCTGGAGCTGGGATGTTTCAGGTCTTTGCTTGTTCCCATCCTCTGCTTCTGGCTCTAATAAGTAATCACAACAAACAGTAGGGGTCGCCATGGATTCCATGCTTACCACGTGCCAGGCGTGGTGCTAAGTACTCGCAGGACACGGAATCCTCCCACTCTAACCCCCATTTTACAGATGAGGAAACTGAGGCTCAGAGAGGTGAAGTGACTAGCCCAGGGCCTCACTGGGGGAGGCTTCAGATTCTAGCCTATCCTGTCAGCCCTGGAGCTTGGCCTGTGGGCCTGATGCTGGACAGGTCTCTGCTTTCTGCCCCCCCAGATGAGGTGGTGCTCAAGTTTGAAATGGGCCAAGTGAGAGCAAGGAACCTGGCTTACGACACCCTCCCAGTCCTGATTCATGGCAATGGGCCTACCAAGGTAGGGAGGGGCCCCAGCTCCCGGGGGAGAGTGGGATGGGGGTCCAGAATCCCAACTGTGCTCCCACTGTGACACCACAGCTTCTCCTTGGGGTCAGGGCCACCCACCTGGGACCCACTCATTGCCTCTGACCTCACATCTGAGTTCGGTGTGGTGCCTTCTCTCCTTACTGTGATGGTTGGTGATGCCTTGTCCATGTCTGCTGGACCACAAAGGAGGCTCCTGTCCGTATCCAGGCCCAGACTGGGCTGCCCTGAGTCATCTGCACTCTGCCACTCCCGGGCAGGCTTGTTTCTGCATTCAACAAACATCGATTGAATGTTTGTAGCAGGGCCTGAGGCCTCGCCAGCCCTGAACAGGACAGACTGTTCCCTGTGCTCCCAGAGCTACAGAAGGGGCGGGGGAGCAGGCCAGACCCAACTGGCCCCTGGGGAACGGGCCCTTGGATCACAGCACATTTCTTGGAGTGTGGTCCTTGACCACCCTCGTCAGAATTTTGTGGACGGAGGGGAAGGAGAGGGTGTTCAAATGCAGATTTCCTGATGCCACCCAAGAGCTGCTCATTTGGAATGTCTGCAGGGGTGGGGCCCAGGAATCTGCATTTTACAAGCTCCCAGGAGATCCAAAGATGACGAAGCACCCGAGCGCTGAGTCCTCCCTCGGCCCCTCCCTCAGAGCAGCTTTGGTGACCTCCAGGGGGATGGACATGCTCTCCAAGTCCCACCCCAAATAAAGCCACATTTCTGTCCCCTTAGGGGAGGCTGGGGTGCAGGCCCACAAGGGGCCCAGGGAGATGTGACTTGTTGGTTGTGGGGGGCGGGGGGCGCTGAGCCTGTTTCCTCTCAGACCCCTCGTCTCCCCACAGCTGCAGCTGAACTACCTGGGCAACTACATCCCACGCTTCTGGACCTTTGAGACGGGATGTGCTGTGTGTGATGAGGGCCTGCGCAGCCTCAAGGGCATCGGGGTGAGGCTGCTGGGCCCCAGGGTTCCGTCCCTCGGGGAGGGGAGGATGGTGGATTCTGGAGACTCTGTTGTCTTTGGTGGGAGGTAAAGGGGTCACCTCCCTGTCTGGGGTTCCATCCTCCCCCCCACTCACCTACGCACCTCCTCCTGGAAACCTTCTCAAACTACACGCTCCAGCTTCCCCCAGATGCCTACGTTCTGGTTTCTTCTGCCTGGTCCTTCGGGTACTCCCGCAGCCTTCTCCCCATCCCACGAAACTTACACCTCATTTAAGGCCCACCTCAGACCCCATGCCAGCCAAGCTCTCCCGACGGCGTGCCGTCAACCCATCCTCGCTCCAAGTCTGGGCTCACGCTGCTCTGGTCCCCGGCAGGGACAGCCTCCTGCTGCTTCCCTGCCAGTCCCTGCCTCTGCCATCTGCACATCCTGCTCGGAGCGCCCCGGCCCAGTCCCCTTTC